GAAGGGGAAGGGGGGGCCAAGAGGACAACCCCCCCCCAAACCCCCTTTAAGGGCAAGGCGGGGCAAAAAGAGGGGGGAAGAAAAAAGGCCATTTTTTTAACGGGGGGAAGCCCAAGTGCAGCCCCAAGGGTTCCCGGGGAAGCTTTTGGGAAAGCTCCTGCTCCTTCTCTCCTCCTTCCTCCTCCTCCTCCTCCTTCTTCCTCCTCCTCCTTCCCCCGCAGCTGGCTCAGCCGGGCGAGGGCGATCGGCCTGCAGCTCCGCCTCAGCCGGCGAGGCGCGCACCGCGAGGGCGCCGAGCGGCGGGCTCTCTCGCCCTCGCAGCGGCTCGCCGTCGAGCAGCGTGAGGCGCGGCAGGAGGCTCGCGACGAAGGCGGTGTGTGATGAGGCGTCGGCGAGCGGGTTGCCTGCGCGAGGCGTGGGGAGCCTGTGGCCGGTGCGTGTGGGTGTGCGAGGCGTGGGTCTTGGGAGAGCGGGGGGCGGACTGCCTGCGAGCGTGAGCGTGCGCAGCTCTGGCAGCCACGAGAGGGCGCGCAGGCACGCGACGGAGCCGAGCTGGTTGTCGCCGAGGAGCAGCACCTCGAGGAGTCGGAGGTGCTCGAGGCCCGTGACGGCGCGGAGCCGGTTGGACGTGAGCGAGAGAAACGACAGCCGGCTGAGGCTCTCGAGGCCGGTGAGACGCGTGATGCGGTTGTGGCTGAGGTCGAGGCGCGTGAGCGCTGCGAGCCGGTCCAGGTTCTCGACGGTCGCAATCTCGTTGTGCGACAGGTTCAGCACCGACAATGTGGGAGTGACCGAGCCGCACACCTCGTCGATCAGCTCCGGGGAGATGCGGCGGATCGGCATGGCGATTAGCGCTGCGGCGGGGCGGCTGGGCAGCCGGTAGGCATTCACTTTGGCGGCTGGGCCCCAAAGAATTCTTCGGAGATCTAGATACAAGCCTCTCTCACAAAATAAAATATTCTTACCTTCAAGCCCCCCTCCGAGACTAGGGACAGTCACCACCCGTACACAGGAGAGATGGGAGTGCCCCCCGCCCCCACTTGCCCTGACTGCACAGGATAGCGTGCCCCGATAACGGCGACACATAGTGTCTCCTCCTCTCCTCTCCCCCCCCCCTCTCTCCCCAAGCAGCTCCCTCGAGGCCGAACAGGTAGATCCTCCCTGATCGCTAAGCTACCACAGGGGGCGGCCAGGTAGTAGACGTCGTCCGCCGCCGCCTCCACCACCCACATGCCTCCGCCCCGCTCAGCATTATATCAGGAGGTGCCAAAAGAACAAGTATCAATTTTGACCGCGCAAGATATAAAGGGTGTTCCTAAAGGCTCTGCTCCCCAGGCGCCCCGCGTCGCACACTCGGGACCATTGACAAAATCTGCAAAATTCCCCCCCACCAACCAATACCCAATTCCCAATACCCTGTCCCAAATCGCTGGATGCCGAAAGCAAGCCTTCCACTGGGGCCAAAACATTTCCGAAAATTTGAACCCCTAAAACCGCCCCCCAATTCCGGTGTTTTTCGGACCAACCTAGGGAAAAACCCCCCTATCCCACCCCAGA